TTCCCTTCGATCTGAGTATGAGGATCACTTTGTTCTTTGTGATGCTTGTACTGAGAGAGAAGCAATAGCAGAAAATGAAATCCTTTGCATTTGTTTAAAGGCACTAAAACCAAACAGATCAGCTGGACTTTGCTGAGTTGCCTAGAGTTGTTTTATATCTGAAGTGGGTTAGACTACTTTATGCTGGTCCTGAGGTCTGCACAAAAAAAGAGCAATATACATTTGCAGCAGTGGCAAGTACAGATTTCTCAATGGGATTAGTATCGAATCTGGAATTCTAACACTCAGAATTCCCATACAGTTACCCATGAATTTTACAGATGTCTTTTTCTCTAGATGAATACTGAATACAATCGCTTAGCACTAGTCTTTCAGTTGTAGGCTCCCTGTGACTGCCATTACCACTATGCTTTATTTCCTTTCAGATACCTTTCATTGTTGTTTTACACTGCCTAGTTAAGGACGCAGGAATGGAGATGCCAAGCATATCCTCTTCTCAGATGGGGGAGTGGAAAGAAAACAGGTTTCAGCCCATGCCGCGAGGAAGGCACTCAAACAAGCCTCCTGCCTCTTGAGAGCACACTCTCAAGACTCACTGCAAGATGGGAGGAAAACACGACCGACACACAGGTTTCCAAGCTACGAAGGACTGTGAGAGAATGGAGAGGGCAGCCTGAAGCTCCGCTAGGGCAAGGTAGTTGGTTCCCTATGCAACATGGTGGCTTTTGTAGATGCCAGCTTAAGAGGCTGAGCTCTCACCACCTGATACATAAAGAACCTAAACACTCACCAGAGCTGAAGAAATTTTACAACTAGAGGCTTAAGTACTGTCTCTTTCGGATCTGGCCATAACTTACTTGTCTCTTTACAAGAAGCATCAATAGAAACAAAAAACCCAACAGAGTGAAGTCAGCTGCGCCTTCACAGAGCTCCTTTTTTCAAATTTCTACCTTATTTCTAGTTAAAGTAATCAATCAAAAAAACATGGAAACCTTTTTCAACCTGAAATAAAAAAAACAAACCGCAATATTTATCTCAGCACAAGGCCACAAGGAAACAGAGAAACTGCGTGGCTCGAACAGTTCTTTCTGCCATGAAAGACAAAATACAAAATAACAGGTTGTAACATCATAGTTGGCCAGCAAATGAGTCCTACTTTACTGGCAAAGCAATTATCACAAAATGCAACTGTTTCTGGTTGTTCCCACAAGATGTTAGCTGCCAGACAACAGCCGCAGTCCACAAACCAGAAGGAGGAAACCACTATAACATAATTCAGCCGTCTTCCTTTCTTTAAGATGGCTTGTGAGATACTCTCAAAAGCAGGTAGTTGTCAAAGACTCGGAATGTCTGCTTAAAATACTAAAGAGCCCAGCACGCACTGCCATCAGCTAGGCAACAGAGGCTGGAATGGCTGATCTCCACTACAAGCTTCCTTCAGCCTTGTCTTTAAAGGCTGTGTAACGGTGATCAGATCATAATAAAGCCAGGTGTTGGCTTCTTCCTCTAACATGAAACCAAACAGAAAGGGGTAAGCAGCAGCTGGGACTTTGCCATTTAGAAGCTACTGAAAGAAAAGCACCTCTGCATTTTAGTGTGACTAAATCACACAGTACCATACTACTGTAGGTAGCCAGCTGCCTAGCAGCACTCCCGAGCACCTGCTCTGCTTTACATCTTCAGCTTACTTCTTGCCTAGAAAACTTTCAATGCCAGGCAAGCTCAGCCACTCCCGAAGAACTTGGCCCAGGCTTCTCGGTTTCTCAGGATGCCCATGAGGACCCCGCACGTCCCTGGAGGCTGTGCCCTTGCAAAACAGCTAGTTTTACAGCCACCACATGGAACAGCCAGCGGAAGCACAAGTGCATTTCTGCAGGGGGGGGCAGTATTCAGTGACCTCTCCCAGTCTAGGGGAGATGGAGAGCTGTTGATTTAAGACCAGCAAGTTATGCAAGTAATAGAGCACATATTAAGCACTTAAATTTAGTACATTCATATCACCTACTACAACTTCTAGCTTGAGGCACAAATTTCAGTTTGCAAAGATGCATCTGTTCTTGCAGAGAACACAAGAAATTCTCCCTCATCTGCTCAGAAAGGCACAGAAAAGAAACACCATCTCCCTTGTTCTCTGTCCCCTCCTCAAGTATCACAGCTGAAACCAATGGGACTGGAAGGAAGAAAGTAAAACCAAGAGCCAAAGGAACAACGGGGTCAGGAAGGGAAAAAAAGCATGTGAAAAGAAGGCAAACTACAGGTTGAGTACAGACAGCTGACTGAGATGAGGGCTAGTCATGTTCCTCACACTGTGCTTTGTAACAGTCAGCTGGCTCTTTTCTGGCCATAAAGTTTCTCCCTCCTGAGCCTGGTCCCCGTTCCTAAGCTCTACCTGTATTTTTATTGACTTCTATTTTTGTACTGAAAAGCTCACATTCCGCCAAAGCCAAACAGTGCAAGATTTCTGTGCACGGATGGCTGCTGCTGCTTCTCCTTTCCTCCTGTACATGCACAGTATGGTGACTATTAACTAGCAGTTTTCTTTATTAAGCCCATGAGGGGATCCTGTGCCTCATAAGATGCTGTCTTTTTTCCAGCTTTATAATATACTTGAGAATGTAGAAATTTTAGGGATTAGGGTTTGAGAACAGTCAGATTAAGCTATTTTGAATGAGTGGGAATAGCTAGGAAGCTTTCTGGATGGAAGACAAAAGTGGACACAGGTCATCATCGCCATTTCACATCACTCTTGTTCTAGCCACCAAACAGTGCTAATGACATTACTGTTCTAAATACAGATAGGTTTGTTTTTAAAATATATTCTCTACATTTTCAGTAGTACTGATAAAGGAAAAAAGTACAGTTAGTTGCTAGATGTATTCAGGACTAAATGCAGTAAGAATAATTAGTTTCATCTTTCCTGGTACAACCCTATATATGCAATCCTGAGGAAATTCCTTTCACAACATTTAAAACCATTCCCCAAAACTCAGACTGTGTGAGGCAGGAGCTGGCTTACCATTTTCAGCATGTAATGTGCCATCGCATGGAGATGTCGTGTTGAAGCTCCGCTCACAATTACAAAATAATCACAGTATTTTATTTCTGGAGGTAGCTGGATGACACAGACGTCTTTAGCATTTTCTTGCCT